CCCCCCACCTCAGGGATCTGGGTGATGCTTTCTCTCTCTTAATCTCTGCTTCTGTTGTGGTGAAGACACGCACCAGAACACCCCCCAACATGTGTCGCATTGTGTCTTTGGTGATGCCCCCAGCTGCTCAAACTTCTGGCCTCTCTGCAGGGGGTGGGGAGAGGATGACCACCTTCCAGAGGGAGGGAGGATAAAACAGTGTCCCAGGTGCATATAGGCTTCAGCCTTACTTGTGGGGGTCCATCCACAGACTCCTGGTGGCATCATCATTAAGCACTTGACTGGGAAGTGACAGGTTGGCAGTTTGAATCCACCCAGCAGCTCTCTGGGACGATGACCTGGTGAAATTCTCCCCTAAAGATGAACCCAAGCGCTCAGCCACCAAGCCCATGCTGACTCCAATGACCGGGTGGGACAGAGGAATTGTCCTGTGCCGTGTACGCTGTCATCCTTCCAGACGCAGCCAGCCTCACCTCTCTCACGGGGCAGCTGGGGCGCTGGAACTGCCAAGCTCTTGGAGAGCAGCCAAGTGCCCTAACCACAGCACCACCAGGGCTCCTCTGTAATTGACGACTGCCCAGCAGAACCGATGGGGCAGCTCTGCCCTATGACACGGGTTACCATGAGCTGGAACCCACCCCTGACACCCAGAAACAACAGGCGTGGTGGGCCGACCATGTGCCCCAGAGGATGGTCCCAGCTCGGGACAGCAGGCCCAGTACAGAGGTATCTCTGTGCTCAGAGCAGTCAGAGTGCAGAGCTACCGTGGCCACCTGTCCACATGGAGTGGATCAGGAATCACTCCGGTCACCACGACACCATCAGCAGCCCCAGCGGCTGGACCAGGGCTGTGTTGGATCAGACAGCTGCGATTTCATATCTGCTATCAAGAACCCAGACCTGCTGCTTGTCCCTGGACCTGGCTCACTCAGCTGTCACTGTGTCCTGATTTCCAGGGGGCCAGAGACTGCAGTCCAGGCTGGAACCCCCAAACTAAGCACAAGTGTCCAATCTGGGACTTCCACAGTGCCTTCTGCTTCAAGAACTTGGAGGATGTGACTGGCCATCTGATGGGCCATCAGGGGGTCCTAGATTCCTGCCTGTCCCCTCACCTTCCATACGGAATTCTGCCACACAGGCACCAAACAGAAATGGACAGACGGACAGCTCTGTCTATTGTAATGTTGTTGGTGGCCATGTCATCGGTCAGACCGACTCGCAGGGACCTGTGTCCCAGACCAAAACCCCACCCACTCCATCCTCTGTGCTGTGTCTGACGTGGCACGGGGTAATGGCAGTCCGCGAGCCCGTGCCTCCTGCCCACCGCTCCACAGAATCTGAAATCAGGGTCTGTGAGGAGCTGGGGAGCTGGTGCTGACCCAGGAGCAGGACGAGGCGTCTGTCTGGCCTGGCCAAGTCTCTCCTAAGACCTGGCGGGTCTCCCTGTCCTCCTGAAGAGCCCCTAAGGTTCCACTCACAGGCCATGTGCAGATGTGATGGGGAAGGAGATGCTTAGTCATATCAAGCACTCACATTTTAGTATAAAAGCTTCCCACCGCTCTTCTACTGCCTCCAGGGCCCCACGGCCAGGTGCAGGACCTGGGTCTGCTGGGCAGGAATGCGGGAGACCAGAGCGATGGCGCTGAAGCCAAGAGCAGGTGGAGGTGGGGGCTGGGGCTTGGGACTTGTCCTATCACGGCCCCCGTCCATCCCAGCCTCCTCTCCACCATCTGAACCTCTCACACCTCCACTAGCTGCCCTGCATTGGACTGCATCTGGGTCATCAGTGCAGGAGGGTGACTGGGCCCTGTCCTTATGGAGCTCTGTTCCCTGGAGAGCCTGCCCCACTGTCCAGTGTGACCAGGACTGCCCAGGTGGGGCTGAGGGAGGGAGGCACACAGCGGCCATGAGCAGGGAGGGCGGGGCGGTCCAGTGCATGGGGAGCAGGGCTGGCGTGTGACTGGGACAGAAGACTGGTGAGTGGGCTGTGAGCACATGCTAGTGGACGCCATGGGCTTCATTATCACACCGGGGTCTGCTCAGGGACACAGGGGCAGGGCTGGAAGGACTCAGTCTCAGGCAGGCAACCAGGCTGCCCCTGGGACAGACCCAAAGGGTCAGCTGTCCAGGCTGACGGTCAGCGTCTCCTCCACAGATCTCGTACTGCTCACATCTTCAAGGAGCCTGGGCCATGCAATGATTAAAGTGCCTGGTCACTGAGCGAAAGGCCAGAGGGCTGAACCCACAATCACACTCGGTGGGGAGCCCAGGCCACTTCTGGGCTCCCTGGGGACGAGGGCGGTGTGCTGTTCTGCAGCGTCTGTGGGTCAGGCCTGACTGGATGGCAGAGGGATTCCCCCAGGGTCACCATTTCTGGGTTTCTGATGAGCTGCATCTCAAAGCCTTAGGTCAGGGGTCAGAGGTCAGGGTCAGATGGAGGGTCATGGGCCACTCCTGGCCAGCCTGTCCTCTACCCTTGTCTGTCCCCTCCTGAAACTTTGTCTGAACAACGTCTGCCATGTCCACGGTCCTCCACCCGCAGGCACCTGGGGACAGTGGGCTGTCCAGTTCTAGATGTGCTTTGGGGTCATGTGGGGACACGGGGACCCCATGGGAGCCGGGCTCTGTGGATTACAGAGGACACAGCCAATCAACTTGGCTGTCACTGAGGCTCAGACGCCCTGTGGCACAAGACCTGGCAAAGCACTGGCTCCGAGGAGGCAGAGAATTCACCTGTGGTTCGGCTCACCTGGGGATGGCCTTCAACTCACACACACCACCTGCCTGTGATCTCCCACATCCCTTCTTCTTATCCCTCCCCCCAGTATTCCGAACCACAGGGTCCTCAGCCACATTGGAGATTGGAACCCCAAAGGGGTGCCCAGTCCTGTGTCTACTGAGAGGTCCCTTGGTCACAGGGAATGTGGCCCCTCTTGGCAGCTGGCCATGTGCCCTGCTCTGCCCCCTGCAGGAGGGCATGGAGAACGGGGCACAGTGTGGTCCAGTGGTTCAGAGGCCTCCTCAGCTGTTCCCATGATGCTCACCCCCTCATTAATGTGGAAAACAGCCGAGCGGTAAATTATAATTGTTGCTGCAAATGTCAGATAACTAGATGGTTGGTAAGCGAGGACAAGGAGTTGCTGGGTGTTGTTGGGGGTCTGACTGGCTCTGCGGACTACAGAACTGCAAAGGGACGGTATCCAACTGTAAGGGTCCTGTCAGGGAGGACCTGTCAGGTGCCACCACAGCCAGGACACCTGGGGCCTCATGTGAGCTTCTCAGATGACCCTAGAGCCCCGAGCCCAGGCCTTCTCCAACGGCATACACTGTTCTCAGAGCCTGGAGTGGGCGCCAGGGTGGTGAATGGAGCCCCTTTGCGGGACTTCCTGGTCACTTTGTCGCCATGCTGATGGACGGGGCTCCCTGCGCTGGTCTGTGGGGACTCAAGGCAGGTCTAGAGCCAGACTCTCCCACCAGCACTGTCTCAGTGACCCCACAGTAGGTGACCTGCTGCTCGCCTGGGGCCCCCTCTCACCTCTCGGTCCAGGCCAGCAGCCACGGTCACGATGTCGCCCGTCTCACTGTTGATGGTGAACATGTTCTGGGAGGGGCTCTGCGGGGTCTGGGTCACGATCCGGTACCGCACCATCCCGTTGGCTGTGGTGTCATCGTCAGCATCGTGAGCTGTGACTGTCATGACGTAGGTGCCTGCAACAGGAGACCAGCTCAGACAGACGTCATCAGCGCACACACACTGCTGTCACACTGTACAGGTGGGCCCCATCACAGCCCAGGGCAGACATCACTAGGATCCCAGATCTGTCATATCCAGGGCAGACACCACCAGAAGATCTCAGATATCTGTCATACCCAGAGCTGACATCACCTATCCATCCCAGATGCCACACACTTGGAAAGACATTACCAAGGGATCATGGTTCTTACACCTACGGCAGACACCGCTCTCCTGCTGAGAGTAAACATACTGTTGTGCCCAAGATCTGGACCTCCTGCTAGCTGTCATGGTGCTGTCAGATGGTAAAGGTTTCTCTGAGGGCAGTTTCTCTGAGCTCATCTCCCAGCTGGAGAAGGTGGAGGTGGAAGCAGGAAGATCTTCTAGAAGGTTCCACAGCATGAAGGCAAGGAAGCCAGGTCTTCCAGCCCTGACCTGTGTACTGTCTGTGAAGCCATGTGGCCTCAGGTACTGGTGGTCAGTGGGCTGCAAGGCCACCTCTCCTGAGTAGTCTGGCCCAGCAGGGTTTAGAGGGAATGGAGACACGCAGTAAGGGTGATGCAAGGCCTTGCATGGTGCTGGGCACCCAGAATGTGGGTAACAACTGCCCAAAGACATGATGGAGACCCGACGGGCGGGGTGGCTGGGCACGTGGTACTGAGAGTCACACAGGTGAAGTCCTGGTGGAGGACGGAACCCCTCTCCTCACTTGCCCTCCCTCGGGGTGCCTTGTCCTCATGCTGAAGTGAAGGGCTGCACAGTGAACATGGTTTATGAAGACAGGAAGAACAGTAAATGGGGGAGGGTGCCAACTGTCCACAGGACACGGCTCTGCAAGCTCGTGTGGAGGGTAGAGTGCCCTCCTGCCTCTGTGGGGTCCTGGGCAGAGAGGCTGTGGCCAGCACAGGGCCAGCAGAGGGGTGAGGGGTGTTGTTCCAGTCATCACAGCCCACCTCGACCACTGACAAGATTCACCCCGTAACAAGTCTATGGGGGTCAATGTAGTCACAGATGAGCAGCTCTCTCCAACCCTGAATTCCAGAACATTCTCGTCACCCTGAACCCCTGACCCAGTAGTACTGCTCCCATCTGCCACCCTGCCCAGGCCACCAGCAGTCTGCCTCTGAGATATCCATAGTGGACCTGCGTGGAGTGAACTTCTGTCTCTAGAACAAGGCTCTGAGCTCTGTCCGCTTGGCAGTGGACGTCAGAACTGGATTCACAGCTGAGGAACGGCCCCTGCTGGGGCTAGTCTGCTGCACTAGTCCATAGCGAGGTGCTCTGCTAACCGGAAAGCAGTGTCTCTCTGCTGGTTCAGATCCAGCAGTGGCTCTGGGGGATGAAGATGGACCCTCTCCTCCCAGTGTCCACAGGAACCGCTGAAGGGTCAGCTAGGAGCGCCGACCCCACACAGCCGCGTGGGGCTCTGGGTGTCAGACAGCTTCGGGGCCAGCAGTCAGAGGAGGCAGCTGGGTGCCCACCCTGTGGAACCAGTGGGGAGGGAGACTGCAAAAAGGATGGGTGGACGAGGGGCTGAGTGGACACGTGTACAGCTGGATGAGCAGGGGCTGCAGAGGAGCCAGGAGAGGCCTCCAGAAGAGGCAATTCATCTGAGATGATGGAGGTGAGGAGGGAGGAGGAGGAGGAGGAGGAGGGCTGCGGCTGACGTGCAAAGGGCCTGGGGCACGGATAAGCTCACTGGCTTCAAGACCAGGCAATTGGACTGAGCTGTAGGTGCGGGGTGTGGAGAGGGATCTGGGGTAGGGTTGTGGGTGACAGGCAGATGGCACAGGACATGGGCTGTGGTGGGGACACGGCCTCATCGTAGGACGCCGCCATGATGATGAGAACTCAAGCTTCTCCTAAGACCACAGGGTAGCTGTCTCTGTATCTCATCAGGTGGGCAACGTGATACCATGTGAGCTTTCAAGACCGAAACGGCAAGTCCCCTGTAAGCAGGCAGTCATGGGGATGGGGTGGGAAGGAGGCTAATGGACGTCTCCAGGTCTCAGATGGTGGAAGAGCCTCAGACAGCGAAGGGGTCTGAAAACTGGGTCACCCACCAGGATAAGGCCCAACCCACCCGTAATTACATGATGCCTCTTAGAGGGACGAGAAGAGAATGCCTGTGCTCTGAGGGACGAATGTCTCCAACCAAACAGCCCCACCTCAGTGGATATATTCTCCAAACGTCATGGGTAAACCCCAACTGAATGAATTTAATTATCAATAGAATTTCCCCAGAGGCACTTGGCATTTAACAGAAATGCAGGAAGTTTTGCTCTCAGCAAAGGGTGCGTTGGGTTGTTTTGAATCAAATCGCCTTGCTGAGGAAAACTAGCTTTCGGGATAAGACAGAGAAGGGAATCCTTCTGACGGCTCTAGACAGCACTCAGGCACCAGACTCAGGGCTCAGACCAGGCAGAAAAGGAAAGCCCAACGCTGGCCATCGAGGGAGGGAGAGCTGGCCCAGGACACGGTATGAGCGGAGACTCCACGTGCTAGTGAAAGGGTGGGAGGGAGGAGGCAGACGGAGAAAGGTTCTGCAGAAAGGTGCTGGATAGACCGTGACTCCAAGGGGCCACCCAGGCCTGCTGGGGAGCCAGGCAGCCAGCTCGCGCCTCAGAGCCGAGGGCAGCGAACTTGGTCTCGCAATTTGTATGTAGGATCGATCACAAGGGCCGGTCTGGGGAGAAGGTCATCACGCTTGAAAAGCAGAGGGTCCATGAAAAAGAGGAAGACCCCCCAACAAGGGGCTTCACACAGCGGCCGGAGCAGCGGGTGGAGGCGCATCTTTGTCCCGTCGCGCGTGGAGGTGCCGTGAGTTGGAATGACAGTGATGACAATTAACAATCACAACCACAACAACAGAGAAAAGAGGAGCTCTGGTGGTACAATCACTAAACGTCTGGCTGCTAACTGAAAGGCCAGGGATTCAAACCCATCAGTGGCTCCTCAGAAGGACCCAGGACCTGCTCCTGAGAGGACTGCAGTCCAGGCCTGTGACCATGTGCGGTGCCAGGCGGGGCTGCCGGGAGCCGGAATCAACTCGGTTCACACAGCTAGAAAGGCCCGGGTAACGCAGGCTTGGCTGACGTGGTAATCTGAGGCTATTCACGCCCTTGCCAAGTCACAGACAGAGTCTCTATGGGGAAAAACAAGGAAAGAGCACTTCACAGGGCAGCTCAACGAGACAAAGCAAAGCACAGTCAGAGGTGCAGTCAGCAACAGAAAAGAACACGCACGGCATTCCTCAAGCTGAGGGAACGGAAGACAAGATCCAAGCCTCAAGGTGCAGTAGTGAAACACTGGACACTCACTGCAAGCACCCCGAGAGACAGCAGCTCGTGCGCCAGGAGGGGCCGGCCGAGGCACTGCCACCGCCAGACGGAGCATGCGATCAGCAACCCGCGGACTGAGGGCGGAAAACAAGTTTCCGGGAATTGACAGAGTATCCGCTGAGGCGCTTCAACAAACGGCTGCAGCCCTGGATGTGCTGCCTCTTCTGCGCCAAGAAGCGGACAAGACCTGGCCAGCTGACTGACCGAGCAATGGGCACAGGAAGGTGATCCAACAGAAGGCAGGGAAGAGAAAACGGTATCATAATATCACATACAAGGGAAGTTTTGGCGTCCTAGTGGCCAGAAGCTGCGGGGCATCCCTGGGACGGAGAACTGCCTCTCCAGTGGCGAGTGTTAGGGAAGCAGACGGCCTCGTCCCTCCCTGTGGAGGCTCGAACCTTGTCCTCTCAGTCAGCAGCACTCTGCTTAACTGCAGAGCCACCAGGGCTCCCTGTGCTGTGACAGGCATCACTCAGCAGTGTCACCTGAGGTCCTCCTGCCCACTGAGGCTGCACCCTCGGGCCAGGGCCTGACAGAAGGCTGTAGTCAGGGCAAAGCCTCTGGTCATGGAGACTCACGGGGAGAGGCCACAGCACTCGGGAGGGTCCCCTAGAGGAGCTCGTGCGACAGACGAGACACTGAGCCTGCAGTGAAGACAAGGTCTGGGCACGCTGGGGCCCTGTTCGCCTCTGCAGGAATGAACGTGTGATTTCTGTGACATTCTGTGGCTGCGTGGCCACTGCCACATGTACTCAGCTCTGTGGTCACAGACAGCAGATGTCCCAGCGGTGCGCCCGGGACCCTCCCTGATCTGGTCTGTCTGACGGTGACTGATGGCTCCAGAGATCAGTGGCAGAGTGTTCGCCTGCCATGTGGGAGCCCTGGGTTCGAGTCTCAGCCCATGCAGCTTGTGGGCAGCCGCCCTTGCCTGTCCATGGAGGCTCACCTGGTGCTGTGATGCTGAGGTGTCCAGCGGAGCCCTCAGTTTAGACAGACCAGGAAGAAGGGCCTGCGTCTGACCAGCACTGAGGACCCCAAGCGTGACTGCTCCCAAGAGTCCCCAGAGGAGGGCCGGGACCAGCTGCTTCAGCCTCACATCATGGGGTCTCCAGAGGTCAGGGTGACTCCATGACAACTTTAGAAACTTTTGATGCATTATCTGTTGAGCTGTGGACCAAAAGGCCAGAGGTTCAAACCCACCCGTCACCCCACAGGAGAAGAATGGGCGGTCTGCTCCACTAAGACTCACACCTTGGAGACTCCGTGGGGCTCACGTGGGCAGAACGGACTGGAGGGCGACAGTGTGGAAAGGCATGGTCCACCAGCCAGCAGGGCTGTGAGGGTGGAGAGCTGTGCCCTCGGCCTCTGCTTCGCTCTGGAGACCTCCTTTTCCTAGCACAAAGCCCTGGGGTCTCTTTGGAAAAGCCCAGACCTCTGCTCGTTTTGTCTCTCACTTGGCAGAGTGGAGCCAACTCCCCCGGCCCCACCCCAGGCAGTGCTGCCGGCTGACGTGTGGCACCGTGTCCTGTGGTGAAGGGGAGCGGCCGGGGGCAGGGGCCTCCTCCCGGGTCTGCTCACGACACCGCCACACACTTTAAAGGATTAATTTCACAAACCTTAAATTGCAGTTTAATTTGTAAACTAATTCAGCCCCATAATTGGCTTTCTGCTCAAATCACAGAGACTAAAGATTTAAATTCTTAATATTCGGATGACTTTGGAGTATCTGGTACCATCTGTGAGCTGGGCCATAGCACTAATCTCAGGGTGGTAGGGGGTTTTGGGGACCGTTATCAGCACAGAAATAAAAGAAAGAAATCAGCAGGCCCGCTAATAGGATCCTCTTTCTGTGCAGAAGCCGAGCCGGGCCGAGGACGCTCCTCTGGCTTCGTCCCAGTGGAGTGCTCTGCTGCGTCGTGTGTGCAAGAGCATTCATCTCCGAACTCACGGTGATGGCGGCAAGGTGTCAACGTTGGTGCCCGCCCTCCTCACACACACAGGGCTCTGAACGGAGAGGTGTGTCCTCCTGACGGGGAGGGGTCACAGCACTCGGGAGGGTCCCCTAGAGGAGCTCGTGCGACAGACACTGAGGAGGACCTCTGGGGACGTGCACTGAGCATGCACTGAAGACAAGGTCTGGGCACGCTGGTGTCCCGTCCGCCTCTGCAGGAATGAACGCGTGATTTCTGTGACATTCTGTGGCTGCGTGGTCACTGCCACGTGTACTCAGCTCTGTGGTCACAGACAGCAGATGTCCCAGCTGTGCGCCAGGGACCCTCCCTGGGGGTTCTGTAATAGCTGGAAAGTCTTTCCACCGGGAGGGGCAACAGGAAGTGGGATCTTGGGAGGCAGTGGACGCTTGTCCAGGCAGCTCTAGGCTGCCCCTGGGGACTCACCCCCACTTCTCATCAGGGTGGTGCCCCTCCCAGATGCTCACAGGAGGGTGCCCAGAGCTTTCACGTCTATAAATGTTTGTGGAAACTGACTGACCCTCGTTTCTCCTGAGAAGTGGCCGGTGGGCTTGGACCGTTGGGCTTGTGGTTAGCCTCGCCCACCTGCCAACCAGTCCTCTGACCAGCCCACAAGGAAGCACCTCCAGCCTCGAGGATGAGTCATCCCAGCCCTGTGTCCCCAACACTGCACATGGAAGCCGTGACAAAGAGGGCTCCCTAAAGCCCGGGGCTCCTGGACTGGGGAAGGACCCAGAGCGAGCGGGACGGCTCAGGGTCACAGGCTCTGCGCACCCACTAGTGTCAGTGCAGAGGTCAACACTGAAACACCTCCGTTCCCATTAGGACAGACGCGTCCTTAGCCCAACACCTGGGGACCGTGGCTAATTCCTGGAGCCCCCCTCATCCCACAAAGGCTCCAGGTGAGCCTGCTGACTCGCAGGGCCCAAAGCAGGAAGTCTGGAGACCATTTCACTTCCCCCCGCCTCTTCCTGAGGGTCCTGCAGCGACGTGAGAGGTCAGCAATGCCTCCCATTCACCACAGGCCATGCGGAAAGCGCCCATCTCTGCTGCCCCCGGTGGGGTGGTGGTGGTGAGGGGCTATGGATAAAGTCGGGGTCCAGGGTGTCGGAAATTTAGTCAGTGTTTAGTGCATGTTGAGTCCTTAGGAGTGATGGGGGGCAGGGACATGGATTTGGGGTAACCAGTCCATAATCAATGCCAGCCCTCGGTCACTTCCAGGCCCTTCCAGCTGCATGCCTAAGGCTCCTCCCTCGGGGTGCCCGTCCATGTCCTTCCAGGCCTGGTGGGGGGACTATTTGCTTCTCTCTCGTCCTTTTGAGCAAGACTGCTCGCAGGGAAGGCCTGAGCTGCCAATTAGTTTCTCCATGAGATGTGGGCTCTGGCCAGCCTGCCTGGAACACAGGGTCCCCAGTGCCTCCACACCAGCCAGCCCTGGACAGACACCTGTCCACACATGTCACAGATGTGGGGACACAGTGGGACCACTCACCACAGACAAGCAGGTAAACACTCCTTCGGGTGCATGCTATGGTCACTGCACCCGCCCGAGGGTCACTGCAGGGTACCACCACGCCGGCCCCGATACTCCCAGCAACTCTGTTATACATAACGGATCGCAACCTTCCCGGTCCTGCCCGTCTGTACAGTTTCTGCCAGAGCCCGTGGTGGTGGCTGCAGCACCAGTCCACCTCGGTGAGGGGGTTCCTCTCCTTCACAGACCCTCAACTCTAATGAACGTGATGGAGTTTTCCAAGGGCTGGCCCTCCTGACAACATGCCTGCCCTGGAGGTCACTTTCCTGTCCTTGTGCTGAGGAACAGGCTGGCCGGGGGTGCCTGTCCCTCTAACTGTCCATGGCATGCTCAACACGAGGGTTTCACGGATAAGCCAAGAGGACCCCCCGGCTCTGGGAGAGTCACACCTCTGCTCTAACAGGCCCGTAGTTCTGACAGGGGTGTCCTCTGGCCACCTGTCCATTCTACCTGGCTGTGCACATGGATGTGTCCCCAGTGTCCGTCCGCTCTGCTTCTCCAGGAACATTTGGGGACAGGCACATGCAAAATTTTTGGCAGAAATAATGACACATCAATCTCCCTAAGGTGACAGTGGGCTAGCCTATGCCTTGAAGTTCTGAGATGAAAGATCTGGTGTGAAAAACAATGTATACAAACTTTGCAAGTAAAAGAAAAAGCAATTCACCTTGTTGAAATAGTGGCCCCAGAGATGGCACCGTGACAGCCTTCCCCATCAGCGCACAGCGTGGGGACTGCTGAGCCCCTGGGCACTGGGGACCCTTTTTTGGGCCTGTGGAGCTTGGCTCTGGGCCCAATGTGGGCTGCTGGCCTTGCTAGGTGGCCATCAGATGAACCTGGCCCTTAAGCAATGGGTGAGCTCCAGCGAGCAGGGACAAGGCTATTGGCTAAGAGACAGAAGGCTAAGATCAGAAGGTTGGTGGACGTCAGGCCACTTCTCAGCACAAATGAGACCCGTGTGTTGTGGACAGGGTACAATCTACACGCTGCAGGACCCATCGTGCTCGACTACACAGTGCTTAGCTGAACTCCAAGTCAGGGGCTGAGCGCTGAGCTCTGGGGGAGAAAGAAGGGGCCATATTTCCCATAAAGATCACAGGATTAGAAATCTGTGGCTTCTGCCCCATCCCACAGGGCCTCATCGAGCTGGGGTCCATGAGCCTGTGTGCGCTTGATTCTTTAAGGACCTCACTATGCTGCTTCCCTGAAGGTCAGTGGTCTGAACCTCCCCAGCAGCCCATGGAAGAAAGGCCTGCGCTCCCCACAAGGGCCAGGATTTGCTGGTGACCAGCTGCCAGCCGCAGCTATGGTCATGCACACCCCTTGCTCTGGTCTGAGGCCCCAGTGGTCACCTGACTTGGAGCCCTCGTTCAGGGAGCACCCCCTGTTCCCCGAGGCCCCAGTGGTCATGTGGCTTGGAGCCCTCATCCAGGGAGCACCCCCATTCCCCGAGGCCCCAGCGGTCACCTGGCTTGGAGCCCTTGTCCAGGGAGCACCCCCTGTTCCCTGAGGCCCCAGTGGTCACATGGTTTGGAGCTCTCGTCCACAGAGCACCCCCATTCCCCAAGGCCCCAGCGGTCACCTGGCTAGGAGCCCTCGTCCAGGGAGAACCCCCCGTTCCCCGAGGCCCCAGTGGTCATGTGGCTTGGAGCCCTCATCCAGGGAGCACCCCCTGTTCTCCGAGGCTGCAGCGGTCATCTGGCTTGGAGCCCTCGTCCAGGGAGCACCCCCATTCCCCGAGGCCCCAGCAGTCACCTGGCTTGGAGCCCTCGTCCACGGAGCACCCCCTGTTCCCCGAGGCCCCAGCGGTCACCTGGCTTGGAGCCCTCGTCCACGGAGCCATTGTAGAGCTGGTTGAGGAACTCGGGGCGGTTGTCATTCATGTCGATGACGTAGATGTACAGGTCGATGGGGTTCTCCACCTTGTTCCCGTTCATGTCCACGGCGTGTGCGCGGAGCTGGAGGGGGACAGTCCATCAGCCCTAGGGTCCACCCAAAGCCCCAACACTGGATAGCAGTCACTCGCCCATGAGTGGAACATGGAGGGTCACCTCTAGACAGCAGTGCAAAGCCCCATGTCAGGGATGTGGTCAGCCTCAGGGACAGTGGGGACAAGGTGCCCCATCATGGGCACATGGGAGGTGACTGTCCCAAGAGTGGGTGGGGCTGGAAGCTGCCCTGACCCTGCTCTGCAGGAAGGACCCCGATGGATGGCAGGCTTGTCCAGGGGTCACAGAGGCTCCTGGGAAGCAGCATGTGAACACTGGGGCATCGTGCACCCCAAAGTCACTTCCACCTGCCACATCCTGAAACCCCACAGCCGCCACTGAGTGAGGGCCAGCCAGAGTGGGAGAAAACGAGAATAGAACTAAAAAGAAATCCCCAAAAGGCGCGACTTACTGGTGGAATCCAGACTGTGCTCATTCCCACCCTCCAAGCCTGGAACTGAGTCCACCCAGTTCATCCAACCGGACAGACAGACAGACAGTGTAGATCACACATCAGACGGACTCACAGTATAGACCACACACCAGACAGACCCATAGTGTAGACTACTCACCAGTCGGACCCACAGTATAGATGACACACCTGACAGACCCATGGTGTAGAAAACAGATCAGATGGACCCACAGTGTAGACCACA